AGGCATTTCTCCCTTTCATGAAGATATAAATATTCTGTTTGTGTAAGGGAAAATTGCTTCATACCAATAAAATATGAGATCCCTGGCATATTAGTTATTTATATGAGTGCATGTTCTTTTTCTTTTGATATGAGAACAGCTCTGGATAAATACCAGAAAGAAATGGTTTCCTTTAAAGACTAGACTCTCTGTGGTGTTTCAGAGAAGTTTCTGTTGTAGCCCTGTGTGCTAAATAATATTTTCTGCATTTACCTATGTTAAGAATTTAATTTTATAACTAAAGATGCCTTCAACTTTAATGATTTAAAATTTGTTACCCAATGGATTTAAAGATTTCTCAATTATTTTGAGAATCACAATACTGTTTGCTTGATTTTAATTAGTGTTGTTTTTTTAAAAAATATTTATTTTAGTTTTAGGTGGACACAATATCTTTACCACTGAGCCACAACCCCAGCTCCTAATTAGTGTTGTTTTTTGAGAATTTTATTATACACCCTGAAATGATGGAAGACTCACTGAAGTCTTCATAGAGCTAAATGCCTACATTCTGATGAATGTAGGCATAAAAGGGATGAAATTTGAACTTAAATACTTGGGATTTTCCTTAGATATGCTTCTAATGTAATCGCTGGTATTTTCGATGAGGTCTCTTGTAAATATATGAAGACATATTAGAGGCAAAACATAGTTGGATGAAATTCACAGAAAATTCAGATTAAAATTTTATTTTTGATGAATATTTTGGCTGAAATGGGGACATCCGTGGATTTGAGTTCCTCTTTCTGCTGAATCTTTGATGCTCAGGTAACTTCTTTCTTTTGGTCTGTAGGTGGCAATCTCAAACCAGAAATGTTCACAACAGTCAACGATGACAAGACATCCAACCCTAAAATTGTTTGATTGCATGCAGATGCTGGGATAAAAATGCAGTAACATGTTGCCCAAATTTGGACATGTAATTGACCCAAACCTGGTGTATCCCCATATTTACATATATTCGTATGGTTGCCCCAGCTTTTTGTTATCCCCTGGGTGAGGCCTTCAGGGATTTCCCCTATCTCTCCCCTGCTGACTTGCTTAGGTAGCTTCTGTCCCTTCCTGGGAATAACTTCTCCCTTACAAAAATACCCACTTCTTTCCTGTGCTTCAGTGTAGTGGTGTAATATCCATTCTTTCCATGAGGGAGAAGGTTCCAAGAGAGCCAGGAGAGGACAAGAGTTGGCGTTAAGACAGATGTGGATCTCACTTCCGTCTGTGTTGTAGCAACTACCACAAACACCCTGTGTACTTTTCCTCTTGTTAGTTTTATTCACCTTCTGTTTACCATTGTTGCCAGCAATGACGACTTTCAGAAAACCCCCCAAAAGCTGTGTATTTGCTTTGGGGGTAAGGAGCATAGGAAAAATTCTGAGCCTCAATCCTGTTTTGCTACTGTCTTTGAGAAACCAGGAAAAAAGAGAATGATTGCAAACAAAATGTGGTAGGGACAAGAAAGAATCAGACAGCTTACTCTTGGGTCTGGATAAATGAAAAAGGGAAAATAGGGATCCATCCAGTCCAGTGTGAGTAGCAAAACTGGGATTTTTCACTGGCCAGAAATTGGGCCTTCCAACTCCTCTTGCTTCACCTAATCTGTCCAGGCCACAGAAATTCCCATGACAGGCTTGTGGGAAAGGAATGCGATGGGAAACAGGAATCTTTAACCCTCTTTTAGGGAGAGTCATGACCTTTCAAATTGAAAATCTACACAAAGATTCCACAGAAACACTGTTGTATGAGATGGTTAAGTTCTGTAGTGTTATGAGGTAGAATAGTTTTCTCCTGCCTTCCTATCCAACCAGGAACATAAAAGAGCCCCATCTGCTGTGTATTCTATTAGGTAAATGCATGTTGAGTTTTAAACATCATTTGTACATTGAGAACTTCTTTTATTTTATCACAGCACATATACATACAGAACATTAAGCTTGAAAAGTAAGTCTTAACCCACTGTTGTTTCAAACAGATCATTTAAAATTATAAACTGCATTTTAAAGACAGATTGTTCTTAGTATAATGATACATATTTGCATATAATGATATTAATTTGTGTACTAAGCTTATTTGGCTAAGTGAAATGTGCTTTTTAGGATCTGCTTATAATAGGCAGTGGCCATATAAAACAGTTTTGTTCTTTTTTGCAGTAGCAACATTTTCTTGTCTGTCCAATAGCCTCTGTTTTAATCTGAGATATTGAGCTCATATTATACTGAAAACTTTAAAAATTAGTTAAGCTAGGTGTGGTGGCACGTACCCGTAATCTCAGTGCCAGATGCTGAGGCAGGAGGATCTTCTACAAGTAAAAAATTTATTTTAAAAAATAAATAAATAAAAAAGGCTGGGGTTGTGGCTCAGTAGTAAAACGCCCCTGGGTTCAATCCCTGGTACCAAAAAAATATATTGTTTAATAACATTTAGTAAGCCTAGAAGTTAGTATGATGAATGGAAAGTAATAATAAAATACCTATAAGCATTTTCTTTTAATTGCTATAACTCTTTCATCAATTAGAGTAGACTATTGAAGATATAGCAGTCATTTAGTCATGGAAAGAAAACATAGGACTTGTTAACTCTAAAGAAGTTAGGATAGTGATTTTCTCCAAATTACATTTCTACTCAAATGCACTCTCCAAATCTGAGTTATTTTTCTAATTATATTTTACATGTGATGAATTTTTAAACCTCTATGTGATTTATGCTCTTGGTTGGAAATTAAATATCAATTGAATTTTAATTTGGGAATCATGGGTACTAGTAATTTTTAAAGATCAGATTCTGGCAAGGTGTCTTGGAATAAAGATAATAATACATCTGTTGACTAGAGTTTAAACAATCCTTTTCTGCAGTCAGGCAGGGCGGTAACATGGAATGACCTGAAGCTTTAGCTTCAGACCTGGTTATGAACCCCATCATAGCTATTACTCACCCTTCCTGATTCTCAGGTTTCTCATCTGTAAAATGGAGGTAATGCCTATGTTGAAATACTGTTGTGAATGTTACACAAGAATGAATTCATGTAAAGATCCTAGCATCAAATTGTAGCCTTAACAAACCCCACCAATTTAATCAGCACAATTTTATTAGGAAGTAGGTTTTACGAATGAGTCATTTGAGGCTCAGGCAACTCACCCAGGGTCACCAAATCTGTTTTCTGATTCTAAGCCCAGGGCACTTCCTACTTCTCAGTTGCTTCTGGGACAAAACTGAAATAAAATACTTAGTAGCCATGGTTTGATGGGACCACCCAAATGTGATGCCCATTCCTGCCTTTCTTCTCTCTTCTTTTTAAATTGATTTTTATGGTGTTGGGGATCAAACTACATCATTTTTTTCTTTAAAAACATTTTATACCTTTATTTTATTTATTATTTTTAATGTGGTGCTGAAGATCGAACCCAGTGCCTCACACATGCTAAGCAAGTGCTCTGCCATTGAGCTACAACCCCAACCCCTCTTCTCCCTGACATACGTGTGCTAATGCATGACTCCAAGCTACTGATGTGTTAGTTGCTTACAGATGCCCAAGGAGGAAGAGTGTTTATTATTAATAGAAATCAACTGTGATCCACTCTATTCCCAATCCCCCATACTTGAATACCAATAACAAGTCTCTTTAAACACATTTTGCAACCTGTGGCAACATACTACAGTTGGAACCACAGCACAAGATGTGCTCTAGGAAGAATAAGTAGGTCACTTCTCAGTATAGGGGTTCCTGTTGGGGAGTGGTGAGAAAGGTTGTTGCAATCAGTAAGAGTCTAAAAAGTTAATACTTGACCTTGTAGGCACTCAACTCACTGAGTTGCTTAGGGCCTTGGTAAGTTGCTGAGGCTGGCTTTGAACTCATGATCCTCCCACCTCAAGGCTTCAGAGCTGCTGGGATTACAGGCATGCACCACCACACCCAACTCAGAGGTTTTTGAGTAGGAAAGTAGTGGGACTTAAGTCGTGGTCTGCAGGATGATTTGCAGGTGAAAGAGTCTGGAAGCTAGGAGATCAGTTGGCCTATTGAAGCAAGCCAGATTTGGATGCAATGAAAGCTTGGATTTAGGCTGTAGCAGAGGGAATGGATCCAAGGAGAACTAGGACTGGTTGGATATGAATGGGCAACCAAGAAAGTCAAGGAGTCAAGGGAGAAAACAAAAATTTCAAAATATGTTGTCAGTCAGGCAGAAGATTATTAAAATGACCAAGTGGTCCCAGGACTCAACACCCCTATGAGTGGAAAGGAGACGATTTGGAAGCATGCTAAAGGGCTGAGAGTTAAACATTTATAGGACATAGTTCACAAGCTATTATTACTCTTTTCACCATATTGCTGCCTTATGGAAGTGTTCAGGTATTCTGCAACACTGGATTCAGATCCTAGGCTAAGTGACTTTTTGGTGAGTCTTACAACATATTGTTACCTGAATGTAGGACTTTATTCTAGAACATTGCAAATGGGTGACAGGGAGTACTTAGTGAGTTGCTAATCTTAGTATTTGACCAGCAAATACCTAGAATATTTGAAGTGACTAAGAAAATATATTATTTTTTTAAACTTAAGTTGAGGTCATCTGATGGTCTACATGCCCCATCCCCCTGGGTGCAAGCTCCTGAAGGATGGGTGCCCCATCCTGCGGATTTTTGCTTCATTCATTGCTATATCCCCGTCAGAGAACAGAGCATACCACTTAGTAGATGCTTAGTCAGTAAGTGCTGACTGAGTCAAGGACATCAGAGATCATGACTGGTCACCACTGGAGTCCCCTTGCTGGGCACAGGGCCAATGGCAAAGGAAGAACTGAATAAATGTTGGTTGAATTGAGTTGAAATAAATTGAACAGCATTTTGGACCAGTTAAATAAATTTTTATTTGCTTTTATATCGTGGGAAATACAGTAAAATAATGTTTGATTGACAACTGTTTACTTGGGATAGTCAGCAGTAACAAAGCTATATTCGTTTTTTGCTAGTGATGATCTGGAACAATTTATGGAAAATCAAGGTGCATCCAGTCCAGGTATCCTCATTTTAACCACAAGCCTCAGCAAGCCATTTATGCGACTAGAAAAGTATGTTACTCTTTTACAAGAGCTGGAACGACATATGGAGGTAAGGCAAGGCAAGCTTTTCTAAGCTTCTGTACCTGTATGACCCTCTGCTCTGGAAAGCAGTCAGTTTGCCTCTAAACTAGCCCTGATGAGGATCCAGAAAATGTCTATTTCAAAATTTACTCACTCCCATCTTCCTTCTTCCAAGCCTTCTACTTTACTTATTTATGCAACCAAGTAAGATCTATTTTCTTTTGTACTAAATGTTCATGATCATTATCCCCCTCCCTTCTTCCCAAGTCTTGGTCCTGTTTCTTGCTTCAAATCTATATTTACTTAGGTTTTCTTTTGCCTTTTCATCTGTAGATGGTGGTGCAGTCAAAATCAGACCTAGAAATCTCTGTTCTGGTCTACTAACCAAATGTATTGTGGGAGGTAAAGCAAACCAACATCAGAAAATACAAACAACACATTCATTGTAGACAGGAATATTTAATCTCCAGAACACTGCAATCATTCAGCTTTCTGACTCTGGATTACAGTGGAAGATTCTGGTATTCCTTCAAGATTAATCAATGCATCCAATATTAATGCATTTCTCTGTACACCAGTACATCTACATCAAAGTCCCATCACATTTTGGCTCATAAACTTACAGTTTACATGACACAGTGTATAATCTTTTGTAAATATTAAGATTTGTGATGAAGACTGATCATTGAATCATTTTTCATCAAGAGCCCAAATCCTGTTGTGATTAAAAACCAGTCAACAGGGATAGCTCTTTAAACTGTTCTTTGGTGATTATGCATGGGGTGTGGAGGTGTGGGTGGGAGAGGAGGGCCCCCTGGGGGAGGCTGCATTTACCCTAGTTGCTCTTCCGGTGTCTGGGGGAAGGTTTTGAGGTTTTAAAAGGGCTGATTATCTTTAAAGCAAAAGGTTGCATGCTGTCAGGCTTGTCAGCATTTGTCAGGATTGAAATCATGTACTCTGAGGGAAACCGCATTCTCAGGGTGTTTGACCTGCCTGAAAGCTGGAGGCAGTGGGGAGCAGGTGAATAAAGCCTGCCGGAATGAAATTTCAGTTAGGGCTTGGTGTTGGCCTCTGGAGGTCTTTCCATAATCAAACTGGTTGGCTGAACCGTTTGAGGTTTGCCCCTCCTTGCTTATCACAAAAATCCAGAAACCAATGGCCTAAGTTTCTGTTACTTCTTATTACTGAAGTACAAATACACATTTAATTTGGGGAGAAAATAAAACCTCAAAGCAGTAAGAAGATGCTCCCACAGCTCAGATTCTCTATTTTGGCTTTCCTTGTAGTGGAGCCTGTTTCTACCCCTGCCTTCAATTGTTCACATTGTCTTTGGCTTGCTTCCCATTGCCCACCATCCTATAAGACACCTCCTTCCTGCTAGTTCACCAGTGCTGAGACACTATCCATATTTCTGATTGCTGGGCATGATCGCTGGCTAGCAGTAGAATGGAATCTGAAATTCTCAATTGTCAACTGGTTTGGGTGACTACAAATTTTGTTATAAAGGAATACAAACCTACTTTCCATGAGCAATATTATTCTTGGCTTGAGTCAGACTCTGATAATGTTCAAGTTCAGCTCTGTATTTTCTCACCCAAAACCAGTTGAGCAGATTGCATCTTCCTACTGTGCCAGCTGAGTTCCAGGGGTTAGGTTTACATACATTTAACATACACCCTTCAGGTGAGGTATAACCCCATATAACCCCTCAAGGTTAGGTATATGCTATGACTTAACATGGTCTCTCAGGTAATTATTTAATTACCATATTCATTGCTAAATATTTATTATCTAAAGCACAACAGCAAAAAAGAGAAATGGGAACTCTTGCTTCAATAATTATATCTACTGTGCTGTTACTAAATATATGCTGTGATACCTGCTGTTTTAAAAGTCCATTATACTCTATGCTAGTTTAAGGATTAAAACACAGACTGACATTTGGAATCTCAATTATTAGATAATTAAATTTTCTTTTGGTTCACTGTTCTTTGACTTTAACACAGGTATAGACTTGTATTATCATCACTACAGTTGGGATGATTCTGTCACCTTCCAAAATTCTTGCTTACTATCATTTGGGGCCACACTTTCCTCCCACCTGGAACCCCTGGCTACTGATGACCCGTTCTCTGCTAATATTGTTTTCAATATTTACTTTGATAGGATACTCATCCAGATCATCAGGATATTCTGAAAGCAATCGTAGCATTCAAAATGCTCATGGTAGGTCATGTTTTAAGTGGAGAATGGTCACTCTTCGTTTTCTGTATTTTGTTCCTGAAAGAATGATTTGTGTGTAATATTTTCTTTATTATGCAAAGGTCTTCAGACCTTTCATGACAGTATTGCAGTGATTGTTTCATGTCATTTTGTCCTCCCCAAATCATGCTTATCTATGAAAGGTTGCCAGGCTAAAGATATAAAGCAATCACATTTGAGGTCTTGGCCACATTAAGCATTGGTGTGTAGGTGGGGGGTTTCCTTTTGTCTTTGTCTTTACCCCCTTTCCTCACCGTATGTCTGTATAACTCATCATTCACTGATTGGCATCAGTACTGGAATCAACTATGTCAAAGGACTTGAGTTTGTTCTTTGCATATGAAAAAGAAATCCTTTATAAAAGGAAAAAAAAAACCTCTATCATCTACTAAATACAATTGCTTTATATAGGTTGCTACCAAAGGTACTGAAATCTTGTATCTTGAACATCATGATTAATGTGTGTTCTTGAACCCACTGATGTAAAACAACTTGGTGCCATTTTAAAAGCAAAGAAAATTTTATTTTTGGTGATGGATTAAGTTTAGCTACATTTTTGACATTTCTGTAGCATACTAAGTTATTTGGATCAATGTTCAGTTATTTTCCTTGCTGTAAGTTTGTGATGCAATGTTTACCATCACCTCATTTATATTGCTGTTAAAAGATCAGTAACTGGCATATCCATGGTTAAACAGCAAGTTGAAGACCAGAGTAAAGTATTAAGTTAACATCGCTGCTGTTGTGCCTTAAAAACAATCAAATCCTGGCAGTTTCACATGGCTCCACCTAATTGAACAGCCCACTGAAACCCATGGCATTTGTTGTAATTTGTTTCTTATTTTTTCTGTGTCAATGGAATATAAAATGCCTCTTTGAAAAAAAAACTGCTTTTATTTTTGATCATGTAAAACCTGCTTTGGTGGTTGTAGTCTGTTTATTTTTGGTATACATGCAGGAAAGTATCTTTATAATAAATTTATTTCTTCAAGTATCCATTTAGCTGAATGAGACAACAGAGATTTTATGGAAAAATCACTTCCAAAAAGCTATTACATTACAGTCATTTGGAAACAGTAATATAACTAACCATATGCTTATTTTGTATTCAATTTGGAATGAGTGCTGTTAAATTACTGTAAGGTAGCCTCACACTTTCTAAAGCAGGGATGTGTGTGTGTGTGTGTGTGTGTGTGTGTGTGTGTGTGTGTGTGTGTATATATATATATATATATATATATATATATATATATAATGTTCACACTCCACAATTTACTGTTTGCCAGTGTGAACATAAACAGTAAATTGTTTCTTGGTTTGAATTTTCAGTTTGTCATCATGAAATTCTGTTGTCCTCCTTTTCCTAATCCTTTTGGAAAGGAAAATTAATTTAGTATTTTTTATAGCAATCTAGTATTGCTCCCTCTGCACAGAGCAGAGTGGTGCATGTGTTTCATTATAAGCTCAGTTTGGTTCCCTGTGTCATAAAAATGAATTTACATTTTTCTTGCCAGTCTCTTTTCTATAAGTCTTGTAGCTTTTGTTTGTTTGTTTGTTTTTGTTATTATGAGGATGTTACCTTGATGGAAAGTGAAGATATGCTAGAAAAATAAAATTACTTTGTAATAACTGAAGCCCTATTTATACCAAGATAGACAAGATGGCAAGGATCTAGAGCACGGTACCAATCTACAGATCTAAATCTGTCAGCTGTTTTCCTGCCTCTGCTTTATGTGATTCCACTACTTGTCCTTCTAGACTCTTACAAGGAGGGACAAACAAACCCTTTCTACCCTTCGATCTTTTTTTTTGGTGTGTGTGTGGAGCTGGATTGAACCCAGGGCCTTTTGCATGCAAGGCAAGGACTCTACCAACTGAGCTGTATCCCTAGCCCTCTACCCTTCTATTTTGATGCTTTGGTGAAATGAAAAGTAGTTCATCCTCATATAACTTTTAGGAGCTCAAAGCTTGAGACTAAAGATAGTGGATCTTCTGTCTGTCAGGAATGGGTCTGTTCATGGAATTCAAGGTGAAAAATAATGGGATTCGTGAATGTGAGAGGCAAATGTCGCATCTTACGTTGATCTTCTGTTAGGTCTGATAACTTTCACTGATTTGTTTCATAAGAATTCTTGTTTTGCAAAAATGTGCTCTGTTTCGGTTCTGTAGGGACAGTGCCAAGATCTGAGAAAGAGAAAACAGCTGGAGTTACAGATACTTTCAGAACCTATTCAGGCATGGGAAGGGGAAGATATTAAAACCTTGGGAAATGTGATTTTTATGTCACAAGTAATGGTGCAGTATGGAACATGTGAGGTAAAGTGCTTTAAATGTTAACATTTTTCTTCTGTTTCATATTTTTCTTCCTTTATTTGTCCTTCTATCAAGGACAAATGCTTGAGCATTCAAATCAGAAACTGAACACCCGTTCTTTGCCCAACAGTCTGCTAGGTGCTATGGGAAATAGAGAGAAGGAACAAGCTTTGCTTTCAAATAACACACTAAAATAGATTCAAATGCAAATTGCAACTAGAAAACAAACCAAATAGCCAGCAGTAGAGTCCATAGAAATTCAGAGAAGGGAGCAACCAAAAAGACCTTATAGAGACAGGACTCAAGGAGGAAGATGCTAAAAAGAAAAAGGGAGGATAAAGTAGAGGTCATTTTTATTTCAAGCGAGAACAGGAATGTGACTTTTTTCTGTAGGGCAGTAAGAAAACTAGACTTCGGGCATCAGAAGAAGCATTTTAGACATAGTGAATGAAAGAAAAGGTTAATTGAATCAGGTTTTGAAGAACATTGGACATTGAGCTAGAGCAGTTTAGATTGATGCAGCAGGCAATAGGAAGTAATGAAAGAGTACTGAGTAGCAGAAAAACATAATGAAAGGGCTGTTTGACACTTAATCTGGTGAACACATATATCAGATGAGGATGGGACTAGAAACAAAAAGGGCAACCTGAATGGGAAGTGAGAAGTACCCCCAGCCAAGGTGGTGGTAGAGGTAATAGAGCATAAGAGGCAACTCTGAAACATTCTTAAATGGGAAAGTCAATGGGAATGGGTGACCCATGGGCTAGAGGAGATGATGAATGTAATTTTAGACCTGTTAACTTTCAAGAGACTATAGCTATCCATGTGAAGATGTCTTGTAGGCAGCTGTTGAAATAGTATGGAAATGTGGGTGATAGGTCAGAGTTACAGGCAGAGATTTAGATGTCCCTGACAGATGTGCCTTCCTAGGAGGTAAATATTCAAAGAGAAGCACAGGGGCTGAAGATAGATTATTTCTTTTAAGAAGGGGGTAGGGTAAGGGAGAAAGGTTGATTATGTCACCTGCTATGATTTATCGGGTGTTAGAATTGTCTTCCCTCTCCTAAAACATCTTCCTATATTCCCAGATGTGTCTCTGGCAGAGATTCATTACTTTGGGTTAATAAGCAATCTCATTGAAAATGCAGATACCCTGGGGAAGGTTAATGCAGTGAGTCTAACTATTAGTCATTTCACATCTTTGGGATAAATCCCTTGGGTGAAAGGAGGAGGAACAAATGCCAGAAAAAAGAAAGACAAATAGGAGGGTAGAAAAAAATTGGGGGTTTGTGGTATCATGGAAATTCCTGGAGGAGCACTTGAAAGTTGTCAGCAAGTTAAGTGCTCCAGAAGGTTCAAAGGTCAAGGAATGTGAGAACCAAGAAGAAGCCATTGGATTTTGCTAGAAGGCAGTTATTGATGGCTTTGAGAAAGCAGTAGGGGTGCAGTTAGGGAGGGATCAATGGGAAGAAAATGAAGGCAGCAAGTAATTTGGCAATAAAATGTCAAGAAATGAGATATTATGTATAAGGAGTCACATGGGAAGAGCAAAGCCTTTTAGGACAGCAGATCCACATATGTTAAAGGCAAAAGGGGAAAAGCTTAGTAAAGCATGGGAGGCTGCAGGAGGAAGGAGGAGAGGAGATATATGCAGAAGAAAACTAGATGAGAGAAAGGTTGGTGAGAATGTAGAGCACTTGTTAGAATAGTTAGCCTCTGAGTGTTAACTCTTCTCAAATAGGAGGAGGTGAATACAGACAGGCATGCAGACAATTGTGGCTAAGATGGCTGGGCATGAAAGCCAAATGGGAATTTTGCATTTACCAATTGCATGTCTATTTAAGGGATTCCAAGAACCCTCATATATGAAGATTCTTCTAATGCTATAAAAATATAGTTAACATTAATGCATTATATGTATCTCAAAAGAGCTGGGAGTGAGGATTTTGAATGTGCTCACTGTAAAGAAATGAGAAAAGTTTAAGATGGTGAATATACTAATTATACTGATTTAATCATTACACAATGTATACATGAAATATAACATTGTACCATATAAATATGTACAATTATTATGTGTAAATTAAAAAAACCCCACAAAATTGGGCTGAGGAGTGCAGCTCAGTGTTAGAGTGTGTGTTTAGTATTCATGAGGCCCTGGGTTTGACCCCCAGCACTATTCATATACAAAACCACACAAAATTTTTTAAAAGTGTGTTTACTTCTGTATTTTATATGGATATAATTAATTATCCTATTTTTGATGATTAAAAATAATTTTGTGAATAAAAAATTCACATGCATTAGAGCATAACTCAAAAAGCCACTTCATGGGCTGGGGGTGTAGCTCAGTGGTAGGGTCTCTGCCTAGTATGTGTAAATCCTTGGGTTCAATCCCTAGTATCACAAAAAAAAAGGAAAGAAAGAAAAAAAAAAGTAAGAAACCAATTCTTTTGCCACTTTTCAAAGTAAAATTGTATTTTTATTTTGTGAACTTAGAGACTTATTTGTGCCCAGGCCTAGCTCATTGCACTGGCTACATAAACTGTTGACCTCTCAGGCTTATGTATTTGGGAAACATGTGTGGTTATTTGTATTTAACTTTATGTTTAAGAAGGAGAGAGAAATTGTGTGTTTATGTCCATGTGAAAGTATAATTAAACTAGTTTTGTGCTTTGAGGTTGAGTATGTTTTTTTAAAATCTAAAATTCTTAATAAAAATGACCAATTTCTATTCTCCATTTAATATTTTCATTCCACCACAGGAAAAAGAGGAGCGATACCTTATGTTATTTTCAAATGTCTTGCTAATGTTGTCTGCAAGTCCTCGGATGAGTGGCTTTATCTATCAGGTTAGTAGATTTCATATAAGACAAATGGCAGGACCCACATGAAATAGGCTTCCATTCAGACATAATGTCTCCACTATAGCATTAAAAGCTCAAGCCAGCAAAGGCAGGCAGAATGTTCTGATCCTTCATTGTAATTAAACAGCTTATCAGAACAGATGTTCATTAGATCAAAGACCTTTGTGTTAGTAATGAGTTTGTCCTGAATATCTATTGGTCTGCTTCTGAACTGGGTTTTGAATGTATAAATAGAAATCTAAGTCTACAGTTGGATAAATTAGCAGCAATATTTTATAGGTCCATATCATCACTGGTGAGAAAATACAAAGCTGGCACCTGCTCCTGTGATTGTCTTATTACAGTCACATCACACAATTTGGGTATCTAAGATGCAAGTCATTAAACTCCTTAGGAAATTAAACTTCCCTCAGTGTGCTCCCAAGATACAGAGTGTTATAAGTTATTAATGCCTGTTATATCCTGGCCTGACCATGGCAAATTTTCATAAAATTGAGCCTTTTCTTTGTTTACTACTTCATGTGAAAACGTGTTCAAAAAGTAAATCGTTTTGTAAATCCTGATCTCATTGTTTAGGGTGTATTAGGCAAACACAACCCTTGTTTCCCCTTTGCTTCCTTGTCTGATTAAAATTTTAAACGAGGAAACATTATCTATCAACAGGCTAGAGAAATATATCTACCTATAATTCAGCAGTGATTTCAGAGAGGATCAAAGAATCTAAGAGAGATACATAAAATCATAGAATTAATGGGAATCTACTTTTTTTTTCTGGTAGGGAAAAATACCAATACCAGGAATGGTGGTGACTAGATTAGATGAAATTGAAGGGAATGACTGCACATTTGAAATCACAGGTAGGCAATTTTCATTTTTTCATGTAGCTACTTCAAATCTTTTTGGGGATGAAGTGGAGTTTAAATAAATAAATGCAATTATTTTCTGTTATACAGTCCATGAGAAAGTTTTATGTGGACATGGCACAGCATATTCCATTTCTTGGAATAACTAGGGTACAGTGATAGAACAGAGAAGTCACCTGGTCATTTAAAAGCCTTGGCTTTGCCATTAGTTTCAATCTTCCCTTGCATAAGAGCTACTGGTGAGAGCTAAAGAATAACAAAATGGACTGACGTAAATGTAATTTTCTCTCTCTCGGTCATCTATTCCCTAGTGGCAGAGGATCCAAAGATGTAGACTTTTACCAGCAATCTTAATATCCCCCTATGAATTAGCAAGATTTGGTTGTGTTTCAAAAAAGTGCTAAAAAGCCATGAAACTTTCTTCACAATTTGAGCAAAATGCCAGGTCTTGATAATGCTCTCTGACATTTTGGGCTGTTATTCCTTTTGCCAGGCCTGTGTGATTTACATGTAATGACTGCACTTTTTGCACTGATGTGGTTCAGCAGCTAAGACTGGGATAATGACCCCTGGCCTTACCAGTACTCTTCTTTCCCAATAGAAAGCATATAATTTGGTATTTGCCCAAATCTTATTCTGACTTTAATATTGGGGGATCCAGTACAAGAGCCTCACTTTAGACTATGAACTAGATGCACATTCTGCTTAAATTTTTGGATTGCTATTTTGTTCATAGTGAGGTTTTACACTACTTCTAAGATTCTGTAAGTGGAAGAAATCAAGTACAGTTTTATAACACAGACATGAATATTTATTTACTTTCTTATCATAGCTTATCTATTCCTAATATAGAAGTTTGAAAAGGTTATCCATGAATATGAAGACCCCAGAAAATAGACATCCAAGTCTTAGTTGCATGAGGTATATTTATGAATGAGACAAACTCAAGGTTTTCCTTGCCTTTTCTTTTCAAATGTTCACAATCGGATGATGCAGGTAACATAGTAGAGAGAGTTGTGGTCCATTGCAACAATAGCCAGGACTTCCAGGAATGGCTGGAGCAGCTGTCCAGACTAACTAAAGGACCTGCCTCTGGTGGTTCATTATCCAAAACATCATCATCGTCATGTAGTGCTCATTCCGTAAGTAGTCCATTTTTTCTGCCCAGGAATGCTTACTTCAGATCTTGCCTGCTGAACACTTAATACGAAGTAGTGAGCACAACCTTCGTCTTTGGTTAGTCTTTTATTCATAGATTTCGAAGTACAGTTAAACCTCACTAATTCTGATTTCTCATTGTGAGGCTCATCCAAATTAATAAAAAGTTTCATTTAGAGGTGTGCAGTTTTGTTTGACAGTATTCAGATTCTCCAAATAACTACTAGCCAAGTGTTTTCAACCGAAAGTCCTGCTAAGATGTTTTCATGATCAACAAAACTTACTTTGTTTAGCAACTGTTATTTTCATATTAATAATATGCTGAGTCAAAACAAATAGCTTATTTCCCTAAGTACTTAAACATTTCCATGTAACCTCATTCATGCTATCACATTTGCTCAATAACCTTCTTCAAAGATAAACTTTCAGTATTGTCTTCCTCTGAGTTCTTGCATTTAGAATTCATGAAAATTGAATTGATGAGATTTTACTGTACTTGTTGAGTGAAATGGAAGATATGCTGTGTTGTCTGTTAACACTCCCGTGATGCCAAAATTCCTATTTTGAGCACTGTGCATTGTGGTGGTAGAACATGGGCTTTGGCCTCAGATCTGTGTTCAAATCTTGACTTTGCCAACTACTAGCTAGATTTCAATTGCTGAGTCTGTGCTGTATGTTGTTCTGATAAAATAACCTATTTAAACACCTTTTTGAGTTCTAAACACATCACTGAACTCAAATGTTGCCTGGTACACAACTTTCCTCTTTTCCAGAGGGGAGAACCTTCTGACTTTAACGAAATTGCAGAAGAGAGAGAGAAAGGACAGGATCATGGGATGTTGAGTCAATTTTGTGCTATTCTTTAGAGACCCCATAATCTCTAGTGGAAAGTGCCAGTTCTCAAACTGGAGACTTTTGTTTCCCCATCATTTCCTTTCTCTGGCTGGCTTTGCTGACCCAATGAAGTGATTGTGGTTGTCTTACTGTGTGACCCAAGGTCGGGTTCAGATGGCAGATTGCCAACATCTCATAAGACGTTTTCCCAGTCTTTTAGCTCTACTGGACAGCCCCGAGGACCCTTGGAGCCTCCTCAAATTATAAAACCGTGGAGTTTAAGTTGTCTACGACCTGCACCTCCACTTAGACCATCAGCAGCCCTAGGTTATAAAGAGGTAATTTTGCTACATATGGTATAAAATGCTTCTGACAAGCTAATCTTGTAGCTTATTCCAAACAGTTCTGTGAGAATGTGCTAGAATGTACGATAGGTGATATATGTCAGTTAATCTTGAATTACCAGGCTCAGTGATTTTTTTTGTTTCTTAATTTTCTATTTCCCTTTTGTCCATCTACAGAAGTTTATCAGATACCTACATGGTTAATGTGCACTACCTGAATTTTTCCAACCTCCTCCTGAAGTGCCTCTGGTTTACCTTTATGTGATTGTGAGAATTCTTAGTTAACCATGCACACACATCTCGAATGAGAGCCACTTTATTTGGAGTTGAATTTTCAACAAAACAGACCCAATTCTGTATTTTGGAGCATTTTGACCTATTAAGCCAAATCAGGAAAGTGTTATAGGAGCAGGCCATGAGTTCAAACTATGAAAATAATATTTATTGCAGTGGGAATGGGAAAAGAATTCAATGGAAGAAATGTCTTTTTAAAGAGAGGTTTCTTGTCAACAACCTTAAGGGACATTGGATATCTGAGTAGGTGGGATTTCAAGGTGGTGGTGTTTTTTTTTCTCTCATAGTTGCAGTTAGGTCAGTCACTAGCTTCTATAACTGTGTGGAGTGTTAGTTTTTCCATGTAGTGGGATTTTTTCTCCCTCTAACCAATTTCTTATAGTTTTAGCTTTCAGAATAAGTGCTTGTTTATTAATATCTGTTTTTAAATAGGTCTCATTGAGGGAAGAATAAGTTTGTGACAATTATGATATAAGCTTTAGAATTATACTGCAAAGGCAGCATATCAAATGTGTGTTTCAGTGGATGATGCAGACTTAGCTCAATTTTGAGTATGTTTTGATTTTAACCACCATGCTTTTGCTTTGATTAATTGTTGCCTCCAACTCTTAGTGCAGTAAAAATAGAATGATGTATGAACATTGGAGGAGATTTTTTTTGGATACTTTTGACCCAACACAATAGGAGAGAAAATGCTTGAGTTGAATCTGAATTGTTCACCTCTATTCAGAATTTGGCCAGAAAACTGTCCCATAGATTTGCCTTGGAAATTAACCTGAAATTCATGCAATCATCTACTTTTCTTCATTGATTACCTAAAGCAGGAGTGCCACTTCCTAGTTATGTAGGTCCCCTTTTCAATGCTGGGTAATTTATAGTTGTCAGTTATTAAATTCAGAGCAGGGGTGAGCTTTGAAGTATACAGTTGACTTAATCCTTCACATAACTAATCTATTAAAACTAAGGCATGATCACTTTGTTTCTGCTGGAGAAAGAGATTTATTAATATATTCTTACTATGCAGTGTGTATTTCAGTTATTTTCAGTTTTCGTTATTCTTCACAGTACTGTATTCTTTGGACTTCTGCATGATGAAATTGCACCTGAAACTAATGTGGGAAATGTGATGATATTCTTTCTGTGTAATTTATGATAACACTAACATTTCAAATGTTGTTTTAGAATTATTGATAAATGGATTTGGTCATTATAACCATCGACCTCTCACGCTCATCTTCTCTTTCTTTACATATTCATTTTAGAGGATGTCTTATATCTTAAAGGTAAGGGTAGAACAATATCTTTGGCTTACAGTGACATATGTTGTGCTGTAACCTTTGATGAATGAAGCTTTGCTTTATGCTTGTTTTGTCCCTTGTTATAATTGGTGGCTCAAATATGAAGATGCGATTCTGACATGTAAGTACTTTCTTCAAAAAGCAGGCTTGTGAGAGATACATAAAAAAAGTGTCATCTTCTATGTAATGCTTTAAAAAGGTCCATTTCCTGTTTTTTTTTAAATACTGTTTTTTCCTCTTATTTTTGTCACATGTGAGTTTTTCATGTCTGTCTGTTTTTAAGCCTAAGTGGATCACTGTGGCTAAGCAAAAGGAATGAAATTCTTTGTTTAATATATTTTCTTTCTTTTTTCTAATTTGTTATATATGACAGCATAATACATTTCAATTCATAGTACACATATAGAGCATAATTTTTCATGTCTCTAGTTGTATACAAAGTAGAGTCACACCATTCAGGTCTTCATACATGTACTTAATTCAGGTCTTCATACATGTACTTAGGGTAATGATGTCCATCTCATTCCACCATCTTTCCTGTCCCCATACCCCCCTCCTTCTCCTCTCTTCCCTCTGCCCTATATAGAGTTCCTCCATTCCTCCCATGCTCCACCTCCCATCCCCTTTATGGATCATCCTCATATCAGAGAAAACATTTGGCATTGTTTAATATATTTTAAAATACTAATGATCATCTATGCATCACATATGTGCATTGCATGGAAGATTAGTTTTTCCCTAATGTAAGATTTAATCCATTTGCTTGGATATTGACAATGAGCACTCTTTTTCAATTTTCTCATCATTCTTAAAGCAAAAGCAAATTTAGTCATTCTCTTCTCCACTGTCTACTAATTCAAAGTATGGCTTTATACATATATAGGTCAGCTTGTCTGTCGGTATATTACTCTTAACCCAATCATTTATTGGAAAATCCTTCACTTGGCTCTTCTCTCTGAGTTTGGAAAAATTACTTAATCTCTCTGTCTTAATCTTTCCCATCTGACAAATGAACATTATATTTTTTGTGGTGCTGTTGCTAAAAATACTCTTAAAAGTAGTTTTGAAGCTCTTGAAAAGTGATAAATGCTATATTATTAGCCACAGTTATTATTTAATTCCCTTCAAATGGTATCAGTGGAGAACATAAACCAATTTAAAAATATTATTATTTTTTTCTAGGGTTGGTACCCATTACTTTCTCTGCAGATGGTACCCTAAAGGCATTTGGCCTCATCTTTAGTAGACTGTCTCCATTCTTATTCTCATTGTTATGGCACTTGAGAGGATAATATCATCGTCTGTATTTTATCTAACCTTGTAGAGTTTATTTGAGTCATTTTTATTATGTAAAGTATTAAATTCTGATGCACTCCTAACTATCAAAATAAGAGAAAGGTATTCTATTGTGTTTAATTTGCTCTATTTTAATTTGAATTTGGGAGAGAATTTTAATTCATTAAGAGAACTTTATCCTTACAGGAGTCCAGTAAAAGCCCCAAAACAATGAAGAAGTTTCTTCATAAAAGAAAGACTGAGAGAAAACCATCAGAGGAGGAATATGTAATTAGAAAAAGTATGTGTTTTGTATTTTCTGAAAGTTATTTATGGATGAACTAACGAGAATTTTTTCAAAGCACATGATCAGAGCAGTTTGTTCTTGGCATCATCAGTTACATAAATGCATGGATAGGTTTGGTCATCTCTAAGACTTTTAAATAAGTACTTCTTGTCATCTTAGGCAGACATCATCTACTTATTTTTATGACACCGAACATTTTGCCCCACCTGGTTTAGAACTGCTAATGGGACTCATTTGCTAAGGATACATATTTCTTCCTCTTAGTTTCTGATGGCTGAAATGTTTTCCTGTACAGTGTAGACTAAATAGATCTGAATACTGAAGCCTTTCAGGAAGTCTAAAGCTCAGTGATGTTTTCCGTCAAGGAATTGGCCTGCTGACATCTAGAAACAGGGCTTTATTTAGAGGCAAGCTGCAAAGCCAGTTAGCCAATCATACATACCTATTTGGCTATAATACTGTGGACAAGGTACTTTGAGACTCATGTAAAAAAAGCAAGTCTGAAACAGGTGGTAGTACTATGTGCATTAGTAAAAATTATAGTTTGGATGAATTCTTGCTGGATTCTAACTTCTGCATGCCTCATCCCCCACAACACCTTGAGTATTTTCATCAACTTATTAACAGGGTGCCTTCCAGTCATTTCAAGAATGAGTTGGGGAGATGGGTGAGAAGAGGGAGAGTCAATGAATATGCCAGGTGGTTGGAAAGATGGATGGGGGTTAATGTGGAAAGTTTTCTAGAGAAGTCGAGCCTTGAAATTTGAAGGAGAGGAAGGTTGTGGTATATTGGATGAGAGCTGAAGCCAGTATCAAGTCCACACTGTGATTTTGGCCTCCAAGAAATGGCAAACAGGACTCTCCAATTTAGAGTTCTGGGCTGCAGGAGCAGGCCTCTCTCAGTGCAGAGCTCTGTGGGGTTGCTATCACTCTTCTCTAGCATGAGGATCTAATAGTTGTTTCTGCTGCCTTTTAGAAACATTACTCATCAGAGAGGTCCTTGGTGGTGAAGTATGCTGTATCATTTCGAGGGTTCAGAGGCATTGATCTATGAAATCCTTTTTAATTCAATTTGACAGGTACAGCTGCTCTGGAAGAAGATGCGCAGATTCTTAAGGTGATCGAAGCCTACTGCACCAGCGCCAATTTTCAACAAGGTAATGCCTCAACTAGATTCTTTCAAACTACTTTCTCTAATGACTGGTGTTTCTTCCTTTACTGCTCACTGCCTCTTAGAAGAGAGAGAGAGAGAGAGAGAGAGAGGGGGGGGGGGGGGAGGGGGAGAGGGAGGGAGGGAGGGAGGGAGGGAGAGGGAGATAGAGGGGGGGAGGGAGGGCCAATGCATATGGGGTTGCAGGGTGTGGAAAGCAGGTGACTGAGTGCAGAGGAGCGGTGCAGGACTGCATCTTTCAGATAAGGCGGTTTTAGCTACTGAGCGGTTTGTTTACCACTGTTGCTTTTCACCCAGAGAGAAAGAGATGCAAGAGGGAAAAAGTTGGAGGTGATCGAAATGAAAACAATTTGAAAAAGCCATTCATTCTCCTTTGAAGTACACAGATACCTGCACCAGCACTAGTTAGGAATTAAAGAGCCCAGAGAGTTCCTGTGTCTGTGAACTGATGCTAATCTCATGTTAGAGGCAGATTTGGAAAGGAAGTCAAAATACTATCTTTGATCAGCTGCATTTTAAACAAACAATGCTTCACCAGAATCAAGTTTCAAAGTTTCTCTGAAAATCTGGATATGTAGCAGTGTAGCAGGGCTGTTCAAAATGTATGAGATTGATCAGGGAGCTCTGAGGTGAGGTTATTTCCCTACACAACTTGCAGGCTACAAAATGAAAGCTGGATTATGTTTTCTGATGCATCTTTGTGCTTTATAAAAGCCAGGTCACATGGATAATGTCTTTTGTCTGCCATTATCATAGACATTCAAGATACTGTGAGGTTTTCACATTTGCATAAGAAACAAATGCCCCACAATGCTCCATTTGAACAGCCACTTATCAATCACTTGGTGTGGGAGGGGATTTTTTAGGCAGACTGCTTTCACATATTCTTTCAAAGTATCTGAGTCTGTCAAGAGGAAAGAATTCCACATGGAAGTCAACCATTTGACCATGAAGGGACACTTTCTGCTTCACAGACAAAACCTGGCTGTGACTTCAGGCATGCCCAGTTTTGAAAACAAGTTTGGAGGATGCAGAAGAAAAAAGTGAGAGCAGTTTTTATTGTGAAAGTTAGGAGTACAAGGGAGACAAGCAGACACCAGAAGGAGCATATTCCTATAGAATCGGACCTCATCTCTGTCCCCCACCACTTCTTTTCACTTCCATAGTGTTCACCCATCTACTCACAGGCGAAGGTGTAAGCAGGTGTCCTAGCCTGAATATAGCCACGTTTATGCCCCTTCTCCTTAGCCTCTCTTTTGCATGTTTGACAGATGCCAAGCCCAGTCAGATGTCCTGTTTCCCGGGAACTGACTGCTCTTTGTTTTTTCTGCATTTATTTATCAGTCAGCCAGTCTTCTTTTTTTTTTTTTTTTTTTAACATCTTTATTTTATTTTTATGTGGTGCTGAGGACCGAACCCAGCACCCCGCGCATGCCAGGCGAGTGCGCTACCGCTTGAGCCACATCCCCAGCCCCAAGTCAGCCAGTCTTCTGTACACTTATTATGTATCTACAAAGTGCTATTCCCTGGAGAATGTAGAGACACATCTCACCTCATGAAAGCAGGGCATGATCAAGTGAAGGCAGTGAGTTTACACAACTCTGAAGGAACTTGGCCAGCATCTCAGAGAGACCAAGGATTAAGCAATTGAGCTCATAGAGGAAGGATCCAGAATGAGGAGGAAGTTGAAGATTCAGGAGAGCTGTTTGGTCAGGCCTCCATGTCTGTTTTGTCACCTTTACTGTGCCATTGCCTGGAGACAGTCTGAGCAGAGAGAAGTGTGGACACTTGAAGCTTTTCTGCTGGCATGATGATCTCATTCTACCCAGGATCAAAATAGTCTTAAGTGGCTGGGCATGGTGGCACATGCCTGTAATCCCAGTGGCTCTGGAGGCTAAGGCAGGAGGACTGCAAATTCAAAGCCAGCCTCAGAAACAGTGAGGCGCTAAGCAACTCAGTGAGACCCTGTTTCTAATAAAATACAAAAAGGGGCTGGGGATGCGGCTTAGTGGTTAAGTTCCCCTAAGTTCAACTCCCTGTACCTCCCCAAAAACAGTTTAAGTGACCCACCGTTCCCCTTTAGGACCACAAAGAAAAGAAATGAGCAGGAATGCTGCTTCTGGAACCCTTTAAGAGCATTGTGTCTAATGCAGTGCTGCTTTTAACCTGAACTTTACTAAAATTATAGAATAGCATAGCATAGGATGTAGTGTGAATGTCCTAGAGAACTGCAGGCATGGAGCAATTGCTAGTTAGCTCTTTGCTGTAGTGGGCAAAACAGGAAATTCTGTGAGTCTTGATTGAGAACAGCTATTACAGTGATCATTTCATTTTATTTTTCTGAATGCAAAATGCCCCCTCCAAATTAAGTAATATATTTTAGCATTTAGAATTTCTTGTGCCAGGGAAAAATAATCAGTAAATATTCATCTCTGAGTACAAGGTAGCAGGATGTTATGAACAAAGACCCAACCGTAATGATAGTGGAAAAGAACTAATTCTTACAAGTAATCTTTCCTAGTCACTTATCCCTCTTGCAACCCTCATTTATAGGTGCTCGCAAAGATTCTGTTCCACAAGTCTTACTCCCCGAGGAAGAGAAACTCATCATTGAAGAAACCAGAAGCAATGGCCAGACCATAATTGAAGAAAAGTGAGTAGAGCAGGTGACATCTTTCCTGTTTTGTCCAGGGGCTGGAAAGAAAGTCTAGTCCTCTGCTGAGCATGCAGTTGGGGGCCTTGGGAGGGATATCTCCCTTACAAAGGGAAGGAAAAAGGGGAAAGGAATGGTGGAAGGACCAAAATCCTCCAGAACAATTCCATTTGCAGCCAGCTCCCCCAGAAAGTAATGTGCTTCAGAGCACCCAAGAGTTCAGTGCTCTGGAAGGTATTTAGGAATGCCATAGCTGTGATTTCCCTGCCTACAGGGGTGCCTCTCACATTTTTTGAGTCAGGGCTAGTCTTTCACATGGTTGACCTCAAAGTCCTACAGTAATACAGTGAGACGAACATGATTCTCACCACTTTTACAGATGAGGAAGCTGAGATTCAGGGAAATTAAGTCTCTGATCTACCTTTCACAGAAGTAAGTATGACTTGGAGGATAGATACCTTATGGCTCATAAAATAAATACAAAGTAGTTAAAATTAATTTGTTTAATCTTGAGTCATTTCTGAAGTCAGACCTGAATTTGCACAAGATAGCACATTTCAAAGTGCTTCACATCATTACGTATTCTTATATCTGGTGTATAAAGTGATATGGCAGAAATGGTAAAGCACTTGGGCTGGGGTTGTGGCTCAGTGGTGGAGTGCTCACCTTGCATGTGTGAGGCACTGGGTTCCATCCCCAGCACCACATCAAAATAAATAAATAAAATAAAGATATTATGTCCATCTACAATTAAATGAGAGAGAGAGAGAGAGAGAGAGAGCGAGCGAGAAAGAGAGAGCGAGAACACGTATGCATGCCCAGGCCTGGTTCAACTCTTGATTCTGCTACTCATTAGTTGTATGACCTGGTGCTACTTCCTTCACCTCTCTGGACTTGTTTCCTCATATGAACAATATGAATGATAGCAATGCTTTTAAAGTTGTTGTATGAACAATTATAGTTAAGTATAAAAGCTCGTACTCAGTACATAAATATAATAATAATAAATTTTATTATTCTATATTAGTCTTCACAATTTTCCTAGAGTTTCAGGGAATGTGGTTTTTATTCCCATTTTATATGCAAAGAAACTAAGACCAAGAGAAGATGAGAAGGAAGCTGATTATCCAAAGTTAAAAGACTAGTAAGTGGCAGGATCTGAACTGGAATGTAGATCTCTAAACTCCTTGTTCAGGAATAGAGCCTGAGAGGAAAGACTGCTTCACAGCTTATCCAGGGTACTTCCTCATTTTTTGTAACATATGAAATAGTCCAGAAATAATGCCCTGATTTTGTGTCATGTGAGGTCAGTTATGGTCAGGTAAGTGAAAAAGGCAATGGTTTAGCAGAGCTACTGTAGTATGGACAGGGCCTTCTGACACTTCTCATTATACATTAAGTGATATTCATTCCTGCCTTAAAGCCACAGAAATCCAAACCTTATGATGGGAATCTAAAAAGTTAAACTCATAGAAGCAGAGAAATGGTTGCTGGAAGCTGTCATGGTGTAGAGGAAATGGGAACTTGTTGGTCAAAGGGTATGAAGTTTTGGTTAGGCAGGATCAATACTTTTTGGTAGACTTCATGTACAGCATGGGATCTAAATTAACAATACAGTACTATATATTTGGAGTGTTCTAAGAGAGTAGATTATAAGTGTTCTCACCAGACACATTAAATATATACAATTTTTATTTGTATACCTTAAATATATACATTTTTTATTTGTATACCTTAAATATATACTATTTTTTATTTGTTAATTATATTTCAAGGTGGGAAAAACTTTATGATAGTCAAAGTCTCTTGTTTTCTGGTTATACAAGCTGGGAGTAGCCAAGGAGGAGGGAATTACAGAGAAGGTGCATTACACGACTCTGGAATGCAGCAGTTGTTCTTCCATGAAAAGAAAGCAAGGACTAGTCAGTGCAGTCCCATTCCCCACTGGCTAGAGATATACTGCTTCCCAGGATCCATATGTTTATGGAGTTAAGTATTACTTAATTGTATGTTGGTGCCAGTCGTTCATCTGTGAATTTTCTCTTTATGTTCTAGAAGCCTCGTTGATACTGTTTATGCCTTGAAGGATGAAGTCAAAGAACTGAAGCAGGTAATAAAATTAAAAGTCATTTTCTCTGATAACAGAACCTCTCCATCTTCCTTGCTGCCCACTGGGAGATGCTGTCAGGAAAGGCCCAGGAGCAAGGTGATAAGGGGGAATTTTTATTTTCCTTGTGTCATCAAGGTGGGTTTTATTGATTTTGCCATGTGGCCTGGAGTTTAGATTTCTGAGGCTTACTTATATTCCTACTTATCAGTTTGAAATAGGGTTCCAATCTTAGTTATGATTATTTTGTTTTGACATCTGTAAACAGAGCTTCAGGAAAGGCATATCAATCAATTGTGTGTGTGTGTGTTAGTCAGCTTTTCATTGCTGTGACCAAAATACCTGACAAGAACAACTTAGGGGAGGTTTATTTGGGGCTCATGGTTTTAGAGGTCTCAGTCTATGGTCTACTAACTCCACTGCTTTGGGCCTGAGTGAAGCTGAATAACATAGTGGAAGAGCCTACTGGAGGAAAGCTGTTCAGCTCATAGCAGCCGAGAGGCAGAGAGAAAGAGACTGAGGATCCAAAATATAAACCCCAAAGACATATCCCCAGTGACCTGTCTCCTCTAGCTTTATGCTACCTGCCTACAGTTACTACCTAGTTATTCCATTCAAATTATTAATCTATAAAATGGATGGATTAATCCACGAGTTAGGTTTCAGATCTCCTAATCTATTTCATCTCTGAACATTACTGCATTAATCCAGGTACTTTCAGGGGACAACTCTTATCCAAATCACAACAGCATATAAATGTAAAGTGAACCATCAATCATGGTTTGTGGATCCCTAGGGAGTTTGATGTGATTGGAACCTCTTAGGTAGAAATACCAAGCTGGCATTTGGGGTTGTGGACATTGTGCTCAGGAGATGGGGTCACTACCAGAGTTGTTGTTGTTGTTATTATTATTATTTTACTTTTTAACTGCTTTATTAAATTTAAATTTTTCCATGCAAATGGGTAAAACTTTACTGCTGGCAGAAACTTAGGCTGGGTGCAAAGACAATCTTCATCAGAAGCTGGCAACGTAAGACCCACTTGACACATGGAAATAACAAGGTTCACAGCAAAAAGATCAGTAAAGGCATATAGGGAAAATGCAAGGAAAAGGAAAACAGGGGGAATCACAGTATTAATCTCATGGAAAATTGCAGAAGTCAAGGCATAAGCAAAATTCATTATGATGGTCATGGTGATTAGAGAGCTCCCCCTTGAGAATACCAAGACAATTTCTCAACTGCAGTTCCTAAGTTTTCTCCTGGTTTATTTCATCTCCTCCATGAACATTTCCATATCATCTCCATCTCCTCCCATCCCATCATTGATCTGCCTATTGGGTATGGCCCATCGAAAATTAGGGGCAAGTTGACAGGCCTGTCCCCATCTGTTATTTCCTGCAGGCTGGTAGCCTTTACCTCCTCCCAAAGGGCGGTCTTCGTCTCCATTCTGCACAGGCTGCTCCATTTCTTTGTTTTCCTGGGCCTATCCTTGCCTTCTCTCCCTCCTCTGAATTCTCACAGCCAGGTGCACTGCTGCAACACTGGGCCCCGCAGACCTGCTCTGCTTTCCCTGGGCCCGATGCCAGCCCACCATGTGCAGGGCAGCAGGGAGCTGGTAGCTAGACATGAGTGACCACTACCAGAGTTATTTGGGAGGTGTCCCTTAGTAGACACTTGGGTTGAAAGAGAAGACACTAAGTGACAGGAGTGTTAAATTAAAAGAATGCTTGTATTTCAGTAAAGAGGAATGGAAAGGGTTGGGCAGAGGCAGGTGAGGAAATTGCTTTGTCTTAAAAGCTGCAGGAACAGAGTTTGAGAAAGAAAAAGTGTAATCACAGGTAAAGGGTGCCAAGAAGATTAGCAGGAAGAGCCTGGGAAAGGCTTGCTCTGTTCAGTAATTGACAGGTCTTTTTCCATTGTAGGAGAATAAAAGAATGAAGCAGTGCCTGGAAGAAGAATTGAAGTCAAGAAGGGATCTAGAAAAACTGGTCCGGAGGCTCTTGAAGCAAACAGATGAGTGCATTCGAGCTGAATCCAGTAGCAAGACCCCGATTCTTCCATAACCATCACTGTGCGGCTGGGCATTGTGCTTTTGGTGCATCTTCAAATGTCTGGCTGAATGATTTGACTCATTTTGCTCACTTCTATGGCTTCTGTTTTGTGTTTGAGTCTCTCTCTGTGTGTATATGTGTGAGTGTGCTCAGGTATATGTGTGTGTGAGTCTGTGTGTTTGGGTGTTTGCTGTTGATTGATTATTGGTTGATTGGTTTTTCTTTTCAATGGGAAAAAGCAAAAGGTGGTGGTAGAAGTGGCCCCAGCATCTTCTTCTTTCAATAAGAAGAGAAAAGCTAATGTAGGCAAATGGCTTCAGTGTTCTTCAGATGGCCTTCATTTCGCAGTGCCTCTGCAATAGCCATTGCCCTCTGGTCATGCTTGTTGGGTTGACTGTTTTCATAAAGTAGCTAGCCATGGAGTAATAATTATGAACCCAGGTTTCCCTCTTCACTTCCTGTGCTCAGCTGCTCCTCAGTACCTGATTTACTGAAGGCAATCTTCTTGAGCTATGAGTAGAGTAGGGATCTACCCGACTATTCCTAGACTGTCACATGCCACCCTTCAATCACACCATTTAAAACTATTGCCCTATGTTGTCTACAAGACCAAGAAAACTATAGTACCCTGATATTTTTTTGTGCTGGTGTACATTTTAACTAGGTGGAGCAGAAGCTCTGGTCATTCATGCCAACACCAAATCCAGCAGCAAATTACATTAGGCAATCCTCCTTCAGCTGCAGAGTTGACCAGCTCTTCCTAGTGCATGATGGGGTTCCCTTCTCTAAGCCTTCTGCCTAGTGTGTAAGTTCTATATTTCTCTTGTGCTTTTAGCCAACCATATTGAGTGCTGTGTAAACCAGTATGTATGTGCTTTGCTTACTTTTTAAAAAAATGAACTTAGAATGTGAGTGGTTATTTGACATTGCATATTCAAACTGCAACCTCTCATTCTTTGAAAGAATCTACATTGAGAAGATATTGTGCCCTAATAGACATGTCACTCACTTTATTGCTTTCCCCTTTACACCATGAGAAGTTGTAATAATCATTAGCCTCTTTTGAGTAGGACTGTAAGAATTATTTGCAGAAATGTGAAGTTGGTCCAGTTTGTATATCCAGAATGAAAGGGCTCCTCTAGTAGCTCTGTTGGTTCCTAGTGATGCTGATTATTTGAAACTGATTTACTCAAGTTACTTATTGAATCAGACCATTGATTTTGTAAGTATCCCAGAAATTAGAATTGTGAGAAACCAGGTTTAGAAGAAAGTCACAAAAGAACAGTGCACATCCAAATTCAGCTCAATTCAATGTCTATCCAAGACTATAGGACAGAGTAATGCAGCCCACTCCTCCTTCCCACCTAGACAGGGGACATTTGGACAGATGGGGATGGTTACTGGAAAGAAAGGCAAACGGTCAATAGGCTGATAAAAGTTGTCCTGCACAGATACATTTGATGGATTCCTAATAAATGTGCGATTTGCAAATGTTTGAAAATCAAACTTGGAACTTGAATCCCTCAGCTTGCTGAGGAGCCCTTTTGCTTTCTGGCACTGAGAGTCTCAGGGTTCCATAGCTTTATGGTACAGGGCTTCTGTGTGCCTGCTGCATGGCAGAAATTACAGCATCCACAATCCAACATCAGCCAATCACACACAGACATCTTCGGAAGGTGAATAGTGAATATTTCTAAGAATGGTTGTTGTTCGGTTTTTAAGCACAGAAGTTTAGATATGACATCTTTCACCTCAAAATTAAAACAATAACAACACAGATCTTCACATCTGCCCTGTCTGCGTTAGTTAACGGCTTGCAATAAATGTGCAAAGTATATCCATAGGAAACGTTTTTGTGACTATAAAATATTTTAGTTGATTGCTTAAGATATTGAAAGATCTTTATTTTAAAGTGATATGTACATATGCATGTTTTGGGGACTTGGCCCTTCTGATGAGAGGCCCTTGGTACTCTGGGTAATGAAGCTTGTGCAGAGAGCTGTCCGTGTTCATACACTAAACAATAATATAAAGGAAATGAAGCCATGTTAACCCGAGAGAAGTGTCTTCATAGCTGTGTTGTTTACAATACTCTATAAATGGGTTCTTGTTCCTCTGTAACTAAACTGCTGCCTTTAGAGGCCTCTCAGTTTCTTCTCTGTCATGTCCCTTCTTACACAAGCGCAAATTTTCTAACTTGTTTTTAGTTTAAAAACTTTTAAAATTGACATTTTCCATAAAGAAGAATAAACAGTGCTTTATAACATAAGTGACTTGTTTCTATTTTTTCTAGGTGGAGTGAAGAAAGATTTCTTTTTTTTCACTTTTAATTGTTTAAAGTTTCATTTTATTTTTAATTGAAAAATAATTGTATGTACTTATGGGTATAGTATGGTGTTTCAATATATATACATTGTGGTAGATCATATCAGCTAACAAACATGTCTCTTGCCTCAAATAGTCATCATACCTTTGTGGTGAGAACATTTACAAATTCTCTCTTAACTATTTTGAAATACATCATAAATTAGCATTAGCTGTAGTCAGCGTGTTTTACAATGGTCTCACATACTCATTCCTTCTAACTAAAACTTTGTACACTTTGATGAGCATTTCCTCATCTCCCCACCCCCACCCCAGCCTCTGGAAACCACCATTCTATTCTCTACTTCTGAGAGTTTCACTTGAAATTTTTATTGGTGTACATTAATTGTACAGAGTAATGGATTCCATTGCAGCATATTCATACATGCAAATAATCTGATCAATTTCACTCCTTAATACCTCTCCTTGCCTTCCCTCTTCCCTCCCCTGATCCTCTTCCTCTGTCCATGATTTCCTTCTACTTTTCACAAGAGATTTCTTTTTTACCCTATAGCTTCCATATATGAGAGAAAATATATGACCCTTGTTTTTCTGAGTCTGACTTATATCACTTAACATAATTCTCTCCAGTTCCATCTATTTTCTTGCAAATGACATAATTTTGTTCTATTTTATAAAACTCCTTTAGTTCCTTTGGATAAACACTGAGAAGTGGTATGGCTATATCATATGGTTGTTCCATGTTTAGTTTTTTGAGGAACCTCTGTACTATTTCCATGGTAGCTGGACTGATTTATAGTATCACCTTCCTCCCACACATGCTTGCCAGCATATATATATATATATATATATATATATATATATATATATAGAGAGAGAGAG